AATGCTCCAAAACTGGAAGTTTTTTTTTTTTATTGAAAAAGTTTTCAAATACAAATTTTTTCCCCTTTTTTTCTCCCCCCCTCCTCCCTGACCCGCCCTCACCACCCATCCCCCCTGTGACTTCTTCAAGATAAAAACCTAATACGTAACAGATTATGTAATATTTTACCATCCCCTTACTCCCTCCTCCAAATACTGACCCTTACTTTCTAATGATATTATTAATATTATTACTTCCCCCTTTTACCATACACTTCAAAATAACATTCTACTATAACATTGTATAATAACTTCTGATTTAGCACAGTAATATTATTATGACTCCCAATTTAGCAATAATCTGCCCTTTTTTCTCCTCCCCCATACTTATGTCTGTATATTAATATAACATTTCAAAACAACCTTCTACTTTAAGACTATATAATAAATCCTACTTTAACATTTAATCTTTTGTGTATATTAATATAACATTTCAAAGCAGCCTTCCCCATAAATTCTAATTTTACATTTGTTCAACTCTATCTATTTCCTCCACTCCCATAAATATATCTCTTAAGCATCCCTTTTCTTAAACTAGACAATCAATAAACTAGCCTGTCTCCACCCACTTTCCTACAAAATTACCACACACAACAATTCTTAATATCTTTGTTCTTCTGCCCACCCTACTAAAAAAATATTCCCTTATATAGATAAAATCAATGACTTTAAATTTATAATCCATATAATGTCTTCTTTGATGTCTTTCCACTGGATTGCTGACTCCATCACCTATATTAGGGTACCATAACATCCCGGTTGCAACAGAATGTTCAAAATCCTCAGTGGAAGTTTTTAAGAAGAGGTTGGATAACCATTTGTCTGAAGTGGTGTTGGGTTTCCTGCCTAAGCAGGGGGTTGGACTAGAAGACCTCCAAGGTCCCTTCCAACTCTGTTAATCTGTATCTATCTGTATCTGTACCTAAAACAAGGGACTTATGAACATTTTTCACACTTTAACAACCCTTGCAACATTTCCCGTTGTCAGGTGATCAAAAGTCAGAGGCTTGGCCATATTTATGACGGTCGCAGTGTCCCATGGTCACGTGATCCCCTTTTGTGACCGTCTGACAAGCAAAAGTCAGTGGAGAAGCCAGATTCACTTAACAACCGTGGCAGGGAAGGTTGTAAAATGGGGGCAAAACTCCCTTCGCAAATGTCTCACTTAGCAACGTAAACGTTGGGCTCAATTGTGGCAGTAAGTCAAGGACTACCTGTATTTCAATCGGGGACTGAATTTTCAGTATGTTATATTCAGCAGGAAGTCAAAATCTAGTATATTCTCCAGTTTGTAAGGAGAGGCAGAGATTCCAGATGTTCCTGCAGGAAAAAAAAAGGCAAATTTGGAGTGGAGTTTTTGTCTTTCAAAGAAGGAGCAATTTAACCGACCACTGGGATAGTAATCAGATGTTCAAGACATATTAAAAAAAAAAAAGACTTCTAACTTCTCATTTCCTATTTTCAGCTCTGGCAAGGAATTTTGTGATCAAGCCCTGGGTCTTGCAACGAAATCCTGCATGGCCTGAGAATATCAGAAATGAAAGAAAAAAAAAAGATCTCCTCGCTAAGGATGATCAGACAGATGAACGAATTGTAGTCCTCAAGGTGCTTTTTCAAGAGGCAACTGGAATTTCTTGTTTTTGTTGTGACCTGGGCTTCCTGAGTCATTAAAACACACGAGTAGTCCCAAAAACCTCTTTTATTGCAACAGCTGTGAATTACGTTCATTCACAGCTGAGTCCCAATTAGTTGCAAAAAGTCCTTCGGGAGAAGTCCTTCGGGATGATCACCAACCTTTATCTCCCTTGACACGCTGCCAAAGACCTACTTGGCAAAGCCACACGGAGTCCAGAATCAAACAGAGATGCCAACTGGGAACAGAATTAACAACGTTGCTTTCCTGCAAAGGGCCCACGTGCCTTTGCTCCTCTTTTAAGCCTTATAGGAAGGGCCAATCATCTCCAGGCCTTACACCTGAGTCGTCCCTTTAGTTTTAACTGTTCGTGCCTTCTGGCAGCTCTGCGCATGTGCACACTAGGAACAGGCTCCTCCTGTTCCTCTGCCTCTCTGCTGTCCAACTCTGGAGGCTCCGGAGTCCGTGTATCACCCCCAGATGGCTCTGGCCCCATCTCTGCCTCCGATGCAGAGCCCTCATCCGAGCCTTCCCTAGACTCCAGGACTGGCCCATGTTCCTCCCCAGTCTTCTCACTGTCCGACTCCGCTGCCAGCTCCGCAGGCGGTTGGCGGACCACAACAGTTTTTCCTTGAAGATGTTTCGCTTCTCATCTAAGAAGCTTCTTCAGTTTTCAGTCAGAACTGAAGAAGTGTCTTGGATGAGAAGCGAAATGTCTTCAGGGAAAAAACCAAGAAAGTCCAGTTGCCTCTTGAAAAAGCACTTTTGGGACAACCATGACCTGGATGATGGAGAATCTCCATAGAAAGAAATTTAGCGTCTAGGGCAGTGTTGGGGAACCTTTTTGGGACCGAGTGCTGAAATGGGCGCGTGCGTGTGGGAGCACCGGAAACCGTAAGAGCAGCTCCTCGGCGCACATGCGTGAGAGTGCTGGAAACTGGAAGAGCAGTTCCCCGGCACGCATGCATACACTGGGAAGCTGAGCTTCCGGTTTCCGGCTTGCAAATGCGTGCCAGTCATCTAGTCTTCCGGTTTCTAGTGTGCATGCCTGCGCGAAGACCAGCCGGCCGGAGCACAGACATGTGCCGGAAACCGGAAGCTCAGCTTCCTGGTGCTCCCGCGCATGCAAAGACCAGCCAGAACCCGGAAGAGCAATGGGCGACAGCTGACGTGCCTGGAGAGATGGCTCTGCGTGCCACTTCCAGCACATGTGCCATACGTTCCCCATCACAGTTCTAGAGAAACAAGGAGTTAAGACTTAAGCTAATCAAATGAATCCATGTGAATCCTCTGTCCTTAAGAATGAGCTGGTATTAAAATCACAGGGTTTAAAATGTAGTTTATTACATTTTTTTTTTCATGCTGCGACGAGAATGTAGGTCGTCCTCGACTTAATGACCCAGAATTGAGCCCAACATTTCTGTCGCTAAGCGAAACATTTGTTAAATGATTTTTTATCCCGTTTTTCTTGCCACAGTTGTTAAATTGAATCACTTGCAGTTGTTCGATTGGAAACATGTCTGTTAAGTGAATCTGGCATCCCCCTTGACTTTGCTGGTGAGAAGGTCGCAAAAGGGGATCACATGACCCCGGCACGCTGCAGCCGTCATAAATATGAGTCAGTTTCCTGAGCATCTGAGTTTTGATCACGTGACCAGGGGGGAAGCTGCAGCGAAAAAACATTCCTAAGTCGCTTTTTGTCAGCACCGTTGTAACTGGGAACGGTCACTAAACGAACTGTCATAAGTCGAGGATTTCCTGTACAGACGTATTATGGGAAACAGAGAGCCTTTTGTCACAAAAGAAGAGGAAAAAGAAAAAAAAAGAAACCCGAAGATTGACTTTTGGAGATTGAATTATTGTAGAGCAAGGTTTTCTGCAGTCTGACATTTTTGTACAGGAGCTTTTTAAATTCTGCTTTTTTTTGTGGTCTGCCTCTGGGGGAACCCGTTATTTGCCAATTATGTGCTTTTCTTAAAAACTGTGATTTAGAAGGCAGGGTTTAAACCCTGCAATCATGCATTGTGTCAAGGTGCACAAAAATAAAAAATAACCACCTTGTGTTAGTTATATAAGCAGATTCGGAAGGAATAGCGACGGAGAAATCTGAATTTCATGAAGGAATATAAACGCCTAGCAACTGATTCTGTATATTGTGCTTAAAAGAAATAGCTTTTTTTTTTTTAGTTTGGTTTTGGGCTCCTGTGACTTTTATTTTTATACCGGCGGGCAGCGTCGAAACTCCTTCGAGCGTGAATTATTCCTACAGACCTGGGTGTTACAGAGGTGGGATTAGAAAAGGAGTATTTAATATTGTGTATGATAGCTGCATACGATCACTTTATATTGAATATGATAATTAGAAAAGGAATAATTAATATTGCGTAGGGTAATGTATATGATAACTTTATGTTTCATATGATCGTCAGAAAAGGAATAATGAACATTGCGTATGATAATGTATACGATAACTTTATATTGTATATATAATTAGAAAAGGAATAATATTGTATATGATAACTGTAAGATAACTTTATATTGAATATGATAATCAGAAAAGGAATAATTAATATTGTATATGATAATGTATAGGATAACTACATTGCATATGATAATCAGAAAAGGAATAATTAATATTGTATATGTATATGTATATGATAACTTTATATTGCATACGATAATCAGAAAAGGAATAATTGTATATGATAACTATACGATAACTATATTGCATATGATAATCAGAAAAGGAATAATTAATATTGCATATGATAATGTATATGATAATTTTATATTGCATATGAGCATTAGAAAAGGAATAATACATAATAATAATAATAATAATAATAATAATAATAATAATAATAATAATTAATTATTTAATTAATATTAAAAGTATTGTATATGATAACTGCTGGGAGATTATTGTGATACAAAATTTGGGAAAGCAATGATACATAGATAGCTTTTGATTTATGGCCATAATTGGGACGAGAAATTCAGTTTCTAAGCCAGGCGGCTATTAAGATAATGGGTCCCAGGTATATGACCCTTTTTGCCGCTGCTTGTTGTTAAGTGAATCATGTCATTAAGCGAATCCGACTTCCCCCCTATTAATTTTCCTTGGTCCAAAGTTGCGTGATAAAGTCGCAAATGTTGATCCCATAATCCTGGGATGCTACAACTCTTTGTAAATACATCCTGGTTGCCAAGCCCCTGAATTCTGAACACGTATCTCTGGGGATGCTGTCACAATTATGGATGCGAGGATCGGCTTGTAAGCCTCTTTTGGCCTGTCCTAAGTTGGGTTGTCTTCTTCTCCCGTCTCCAGGGATCTGATGTTTGTATGGATTAAGTTACCCTGAACAACTGAAGAGATAAGAAGCTTGGAGCCCCTCAACGTTATGTCAGGTCTTCTTCCGTTGTAAGTAGTCCATTCCCTTCTCCCTTCGTGATTCTGGGTAGCTGACAAAGATAAGAACCCAATATAAAAATAATAAAACAATGAATTTTTACTTCCCTGGTGACAACAATCCATCAAGCCACTTGATGGTCTCCATCCAGGGTTCCCCCAGGCCCGTTGACAAAGCCAGTTCTTCAGGACCTTGCGAAAAAATGTCAAAATGGGGACCAATCTTATCTCCATGGGGATGATGTTCCTCAGGGAGCCATCACAGAGTAGGTCCTTCTTCTGGGTCTGACTAGATGGATCTCCTTAGGACAGGGAACCCATAACATTTCTGGCCTCCCCACTCTGATAGGTCAAGTAGATGTAACCGGGAGAAGACGCTCCTTCAAATAACTTGGTTCCAAGTCACATAGGGCTTTAAAGGAGACAACCAACATCTTGAGTATGATCCGGAAGCAAATTGGCAGCCAACGCAACTTGCAGGAGAGATGACATGTAGGCACACCTAGGCCTGCCGAAAACCTTTGATTGAGAAGCGTAGAAATCGGTCTTCATCAGCAAAACCCATGCATATCTTGCATGTTATGTACAACAACATTACGTATAATTTAATAAGGGTGTAATAATGCTTAATCTCAAGGAAGTGTTTTGGAGTTCACCCAAGTCCAGCTTCTTCCTATTCTTTTATCATTTCCCAGATCTTTTCACAGGTCAGGATAAAACTGCAGATGCTTTAAAGAGATACTTTAAGGAGTAGACTTCTTAAAGCAGTGTTTCTCAACATTGGAAGCTTGAAGACGGGTGGACTTCAACTCCCAGAATCCCCCAGCCAGCGCTGCTCAGACACTGCTGAGACACACCTTCTGTGTCTCAGAAGGTACAAAAGATATAAAAAGTTCAGAAGGTCACTTTCCGGAAATGAAGTTCTGTGCTGATGGAGAGAACAGAAAACAAACTAGGAAAAGGAAATATACATAATAAGAATGCAGACAAATAGAGGGAATTGGCCTTCTGCAATCCATAGAACATCGAATAAATGAATAGATTGGCTGTTGTTCCAAGAGTGGCTACGTAATTGGACATTCCCATCTGGGCTTCCTCATAAGCAATAGGATGGTAGCATTTGGCAGGATTCTTCCGTTTCATCATATAATTTTTATCGATGAATAGAAAAGATGGAATAGCTGTGAAGAGGGTGAATTTCTGTTCTGGCTGTGACTAGAAGCTGCCAAAAGAGCTTAACAGTCCAGCTTCGCCTTTGGAGTCTTTCAAAGTTGCTAAATCAGTGATGGTGTTCTCCTCCTCCTCCTCTTCTGCTTCTGCTCCTCCTCCTCCTCCTCTACCATCACTACCATTATTTTCTCTTCCTCCTCCTCCTTCTCTACCACCACCACTACCATTATGATTTCCTCCTCCTCCTCCTTCTCCTCCTCCTCCTTCTCTACCACCACCACTACCATTATGATTTCCTCCTCCTCCTCCTCCTCCTCCTCCTCCTCCTCCTCCTCCTCTCCTCCTCCTCCTCCTCCTCCTCCTCCTCCTTCTTCTTCTCCTTCTTCTTCTTCCCCTCCTCCTCTTCCTCTTCCACCACCTCTTCTTCCTCCTCCTACCCTCCTCCTCCTCCTTCTCCTCCTCCTCCACCTCTTCCTCCTCCTCCTCCTCCACCATGTCTTCTTCTTCTTCCTCCTCCTCCTCCTCTTCTCCTCCTTCTCCTTCTCCTTCTCCACTACCACCTCTTCTTCCTCTTCCTACCCTCCTCCACCACCATCTCTTCTTCTTCCTCCTCTTCTTCTACTTCTCCTTTTCCTTCTCCACCACCACCACCTCTTCTTCTTCCTCCTCCTACCCACCTCCTCCTCTTCTTCTTCTTCCTCCTCCTCCCTCTCCTCCCCCTCCTCCTCTTCCTCCTTCTTCTTCTGCTCCTACTTCTTCTCCTGCTCCTGCTTCTTCTTCTCCTGCTTCTGCTTCTCCTCCTCCTCCTCCTCCTCTACCACCACCGCCATTCTCCCCCACAAGAAAGTAACTTCCCACCTTCATATAAGGATAAACGATTTCCCAATCTCTTCACCTCCTCTTCGTTAACCAACTCTCCCGTCTCTAACCCACTTCTTAACCACAGGCAAATCAAATAATTCAACCCCTTCTCCACTTCCAATTAGCAGCAGGAATATTCATCTTCTGGAATATCGACGTCGATCAACATCAGCCTTCCCATCTTCCGCCTTTCCTTCAGCCGTAGAAGGCCGATCCCAATAGACCCGTGATTTATGGTCTCTTCCTTCTAACCTCCGATTGTTTGGGAAGGAAATGTTCTCTTGTGGTCAGCCCGTTCCTGGACGCTGTTATTAAGCCATATAATGAATGTCTGAAACGGGACGATGTAGGAAATGAGAAATGCCAGACTTCTTAGGGGCTGTTTAGATCAAGAGGAAATCCCGCTAAAGGCAACGTTGATTGAGGCCAAAGCTCGTCCCAGCTACATAACTTTGGTCAGCAGCAGCTCAATGAAAATATTTCTTAGCAATAATCTTCAAAAAGAATCAAAACCCACGGAAAACTGCCGAGCAGCGCCCTGCGGCTACAGATGTTGGGCCGTGCCACTGATACTGAACTTCCTTAATTCAAAGTAGAATTGCGACTCCCGCGTGGGGAAAACCACCAGGGTCTCAGGAGGGGTGAAATGGCTCAACGGAAGCTTGGCACCCATCCTTTAGTTTCAATAGAAGCCGAAAAAAAGAGGTCACGTCTGGCGCAGCGGTTGAGGGTACCTTTTTCCACGTGTAATGTAGATATGTAGAGTATGCTCAAGAGCAGGCCACGAAGGCGTCGTAATGGATATGAACATGTTAACGGGTAATTGATATTATACTAATTGGATGTGCATATCTGTTCTCTTACATTATGACAATTCCGTTCTCCTCTTGCTCCGTTTTCATCGACAGGTTGCTAAGAAACACAAGCTCCACGCGACTATTTAGCCCAGTTTTAATCCCTGTTTCCCTGTTTATTGTCTTCGTTTTTTTTCTACTCTGTACTTGCCTTCCCTTCTTCCCTCCCTCCCTTCTCTTTGTCTTTTTGCCTTGTCCTCCTCCCTCCCTCCCTCCCTTCTTTCCCCCTCCCTCTCTCCATCTCCCTCCCTCCCTCCATCTTCCTTCCTCCCTCCCTCCCTCCGTCTGTCTTCCTTCCTTCCTCTCTCCCTCCCTCATCTTTCCATCCTCCCTCATCTTTCCTCCCTCCCTTCATCTTCCTTCCTCCCTTCCTCCGTCTTCCTTCCTCCCTCCTTTCCTCCATCTTCCTCCCTCCCTCCCTCTTCCTTCCTCCCTCCCTCCCTCCGTCTGTCTTCCTTCCTTCCTCTCTCCCCCCTTCCCTCCCTCATCTTTCCTTCCTCCCTCATCTTTCCTCCCTCCCTCCATCTTCCTTTGTTCCTTCCTCCCTTCCTCCGTCTCCCTTCCTTCCTCCCTCCCTTTCTCCCTTCCTCCCTCCCTCCCTCCCTCCCTTCCTTTCTCCCTCCCTCCCTCCCTCCCTTTCCCTTTCTGCCTTTCTGTTTTCCACCCTTTTTTCCTTTTTTCCCTTTCTCCCATCCTTCCTCCTTTCCTCCCTCCATCTCCCTCCCTCCCTCCCATCTTTGCGAAGGCTGAAAACTCTTGTTGACCTCAGGGACTGAGAAATATTGATTTCTAAGTTATCATAGCTTGCCTTTTTCTCATTTGGGAGTTTTATTTATTTGGGAGTTTTATTCACGTCTCCCTGAAGTTACATATTTTAGGACCTGAGAGATGCATTGTGGTTGATCCTTAGGGTTTCTCCTTCTCGGTTGTTAAGTCCCCTTGTTTCTGCCTCTTGCATTCTTCATTCATTCAAGACTTAAGAACGAATCTCTCCGTGCATGACACAACACAACCAGGGATTGTGTTCATCAGCTGGCTGTCACCGAGGCTGACACTGATTTGAGCAGAGAGGGGAATGACTGTCCCAAGGTCACCAGATGGCTTCCATGCCTAAGGCAGAACCTCAGTCCCCCCTCCCCCCATTTCTGGTCCATCTCCTAACACAGGGGTCAGCAAACTGCAGCTCCGGAGCCACATGTGGCTCTTTGGGCCCTCTGCTGTGGCTCCCTGTCGGGTGATCCCACCACTGGCTGGCCCCGCCCCTCGCCCTCCCCTCCCAGTCATTCCTCACCTGGCCTGAGAAGGTAAGGGCGACAGTGCGGGATGGAGAAGTTGTGAGGGCAGAGACAGAGAGATACAGAGAGAGAGAGAGAGAGACATAGAGAGATACAGAGAGAGGGTGAGAGAGACAGAGAGATACAGAGAGAGGGTGAGAGAGACAGAGAGATACAGAGAGAGGGGGTGAGAGAGAGACATAGATACAGAGAGAGGGGGTGAGAGAGAGAGAGAGACATAGAGAGATACAGAGAGAGGGTGAGAGAGGCAGAGAGATACAGAGAGAGGGTGAGAGAGAGACATAGAGAGATACAGAGAGAGAGAGAGACAGAGAGATACAGAGAGAGGGTGAGAGAGACAGAGAGATACAGAGGGGGTGAGAGACAGAGAGAGAGACAGAGAGATACAGAGAGAGGGTGAGAGAGACATAGATACAGAGAGAGGGCGAGAGAGACAGAGAGATACAGAGAGAGGGTGAGAGAGACAGATACAGAGAGAGGGCGAGAGAGACAGAGATACAGAGAGAGGGTGAGAGAGACAGAGAGATACAGAGGGGGTGAGAGACAGAGAGAGAGACAGAGATACAGAGAGAGGGGGTGAGAGAGAGACAGAGAGATACAGAGAGAGGGTGAGAGAGACAGAGATACAGAGAGAGGGCGAGAGAGACAGAGATACAGAGAGAGGGCGAGAGAGACATAGAGAGATACAGAGAGAGGGGGTGAGAGAGAGACAGAGAGATACAGAGAGAGGGTGAGAGAGACAGAGATACAGAGAGAGGGTGAGAGGGTGAGAGAGACAGAGAGATACAGAGAGAGGGTGAGAGAGACAGATACAGAGAGGGGGAGAGAGACA